GAAAGAGTACTATTGATAGGAGTTTTGGGACGTCTGTACTTTGTAATTCTTTACTGAAAGAGGTTTTAATTCGCTAATTAAAAATAGGTGCGTCTTTTATATTTAAGATAGATTTGCATAGAATTGTCCTCCTGTTGTGTGTCTCCCTCAGCCTTTTACTTCTATTCATGGAAACAGAGCAGCTTTAACACATGAATATATGTGGAGTGGTCCATTTTCTTTTCCAACCTAAACAATTCTATGATTTTCTGTAACTTAAAACTCACAGAGAGGAAGTAAGGGCTTTGATGTTCAAAAGGTTGCCATAAATTAAGCCTAATGCTTTTTCAATTACATTTCAAAATACAAAACATATTTACAGTGAGCTTCACTTAGAGTCAGGAATGGCAGATGGGAAGGATACGCATGCTGCTCTGGATAATCCTGGAGTTTGACAGAGGCCAGATTGTTTGCTGACCTTGCAGGATATTCCTTGTCTTTTTCCCAAGAAAAAGTTTTCCTGAGTGGCAATCACATCTGGGACATTTGTCCCCAAAAGATTATCTCAAAGAAAATGAAATGTACTCCATCCCAGTCCTCAGTATCGGTCAAACTGGTATTTCCACGTACCAGGTTAAAAGATTCGTATAACAGCTATGTCACAGTCCCCGAAAGAATCAGGTTAACAGATTTAAAGAAGGAACAGGAGATGGTAAAAGTGATTTTCCACATCTTACTGCTATACATGTTTGTCAAAAGGTTAGCGCACCCTCCTTACAAGTGTGACCTAAAATCAGTATCTCATTGGCCACTGACTTAGAGATGCTGCCGAGCTTTTGGCACTGCTTTGCAAAAATAATATTGCTAATGTTATCTCTTGTTCAGCTGCTGTAGTGCACTCATTCACACAGAACACATAGATTGCCTCTTTCCTTGGTGTAATTTAAATACCAGTTTTTTTCTAATAATATTGATAAATTTCTAGCAACCATTTTCAAGCAGTGTTCTGGAAGATAATGAAGACAGGCTAATACCTCACTTACCTGACGAGCCCTTTAATGATGTGCTGTCCAAGCTGATTGATGCTTCTCCTCCCCATCACCCCCCGTTAGGAGAATGCAATGGTCCTGCAGCAGCTGGGAGAAAGATGTCAGCTTGGATAGAAAGGATTTTGGGATATATGTACTTTTTATTCCAGAGCTGATAGTACTTAGCTCTGAAAGAGATGCATTTCTTTGTCATTTGAGATTCATTGCCTGGAGTTGCTTTCCCTAACCTGTGTCAAGGACAGTTTTGTTAGGCAAAGAACTTCATAGTTTTGCCAGATTTATCGATGGTGATTTCCTCTCCCCTTTATCTAGCATGCAAGAGAACTATTCTTTTCATAGTTTGAGCAGCAGTAATCTGTTTTCTACTGCTAACAACGAGCTCTGCTGAAGTTCTCAAAATGCGTAAACTCCAGATACGGACAGACGCAAATATATTCTCCAGAATATCTGCTTGAAATGAGATGTGTACAGAGTCAGAGTGTGGATGAAAAACCATCTTCTTCAGCTTTAGATTTGGGAATGACTTCTAGAGTGATATTAGTACACACGACTGCTGCCATTCAGTCAGCTAGGCACCCCACTCTGGCCTGGTGCAAAACCAAGATAAGCTTTCTGATGAGCTGTTATGCCCCTTGAGTTTTACAAATCAATAGCTTAGTTTTACAAAGTCCCTTTCTTACTAAAACAAGCTTTACAGCAGCTTACATCAGGAAGTGAAGTTGCTGAATCAACTAATAGTAGTTTCCTTTCTTTTCATCTTTACTGCTTACACTATGAAAAGTTAATCCCTTCCAATGCGTCTTTTCTCTGCTGGTCTTCCTTTTTCAGGTACAATAAATGGATAATGTTTTAGGGCATATATATATTCCCAACTGCTTATCAAGGATGAATGAAATTCTCCCACCATCCTTCATGTAACTTGAAAGCACTGGATCTGATGTACAGAAGTCTAGAGGAATGGCTCAAAGGAGTTATCACAAACTGACCTGTAAACTGCCATGAAAATACAGGTCTGCTTTCCAAAGTCATCATTTTTGACTGAGGACTGCTATACTGTCTGCTAAAATTCACACTTTTGTCTTCACCAGATAAAAAAGAAACGAAAATATTATAGGCAGAATAATATTCTTGAGTTTGTTATTTCTCCTCTCCCTCAATATTCTTGAGGGACCAAAAAGAGGGGAATGGGAGATTTGTACTATGCTGGAGGACCTGGGATGACTTTAGACCTAAAAAGCACGTTTCAGACTGATGCAAGCAGAACTTGGACTCATTTACACCATGCTGAATCATACACCCAAGCATACAGCCCCTGCTACGTTAGTTCTTATGTCTGCATTATTTCCCTTGCTCCATCAGCTTCCACGTCAGCCTGACAAAATGTAATTTGAAGAATATGGCTGTTTAAAGTGGTCACTGGGTAGTTTAAAGGTAAAATATAGGTTCACAGAATCATGCAATGGTGGAGGTTGGAAAGGACCTCTGGAGGTCATCTGGGCCAACCCCCTGCTCAAGCAGGGCCCCCCAGAGCCGGTTGCCCAGGACCACGTTCAGACGGCATTTAAATATCCCCAAGGAGGGAGACCACAACCTCTCTCAGCAACATATCCCGTCATTCAGTCACCCGCACAGTGGAAAAGTGCTTCCTGATGGCCAAGCAGAACCTCCTGTGTGTCAGTTTGCGCCCGTTGCCTCTGGTCCTGTCACTGGGCACCAGTGCAAAGAGCCTGGCTCTGCCCTCTTCACACCCTCCCTTCAGATATTTAAATACATATATACTCCAGGCTAAACAATCCCAGCTCTCTCAGCTGTTCCTCATATGAGAGATGCTCCAGTCCCTTAACTGTCTGCATGAAGAAAGCCTAATATTAGCAAAAGCTTTTGGTAACTCACTGATAACTGTTTGTAAATGAAAGTGTAGGTTATTCTGATTCACGTATTCTCTTTGAGTATCTAGCAGCCATTCTGTGAGCACCATGCTAGTGTGTGAGAACGGCAGTAACTGAGTAAGGGTAATTTTGTTGCCCATTTCAAAGAAGTTTAAAAATGAACCAGTAGTATAAACATCAACAAAGTAAATCTAGCCATAAAATTATTTCAGCTGTAATACTTTAATAACCCCCACTGGTGTTAAGTGCATATAGCTCCACTAACTTCAACACATTTGTTACACTGATGATCTGACCCTAGGGCTTTATTAATAATAGAAACAAGATTCATTTTAATTGTGTCATGGATATTTAAGTAAAACTCCCTCTAGATTGTAATCTGCTTAAAACACATGGCAAGCTACAGCCCAGAGTTTTTAAACCAACTCTCATAATTTTAACTTCCTTTCAGCTCTATGGCTCTCCTTAACGCCATTAAAATAGAATACTGACACAGGATTACTGACACTGTAAATGCTTTTTCAAAAAAGATGAGGCTCCTGGCAGTTCTTATGGTGACAGTACTTCTTTTATAGCAAGTGACCAATTATAAGTCAGTTATCTGGGGATGAGTTCTCGATGCACATAAGTACCAATACCTAGTGTGAAAGGGGAGCAGCAGAATTTGTTTTTATTTTTTTTCTCAGGTTGAGTACTCATAAATATACATGGTATTCTAATTTTACAATGACTTGTACCTAGCACTTTCACACTATTGCGTATGTAGGAAGCGTAAGCTACATTATCCTATCCTCCCAGATCAGGCACGCAAGATAGGTCACTGCTGTGCAGTCACCTTCTGACTTCAGTAGTGTTTTCAAAACACTTCACAGAACTTGGCTGCAGTTTTAGCAGCAGAGTTGAAAAGCACCATCTTCTACTGAAAAGGCAAAGAGATTTTAGGCAGATCTATACATTCAAGCGTATTCTAGTTATTTACTCTAATTACGAAAAGACTTAAAGTATCATTCTTTACCTATAAAAGGAGCTCAGATATTTTACTGATTAGCAATACCATTACATATCTGTGGCTGAGCCTTGAAAGTTACAAATAAATACATTTTTAAACAAAATTCTTTCAACGTAGTCTCATATTCTCTAATCTGCCAAGGCCTTAATTTAAAAAATTATTTGTTTTCTGTATTAACTGATAGCCGTAGTATTTCCAGAAATAGGGTAGTGAATGTAAAAGAAAATAAATGCAAGAATTTCTGAATTGCAATGTTTGGTGGTAATGCAGAAGAAAGCCAGACCTTAGCACCTGGATCTTGCCAAGTATTATGAAACTATAATTTCATTTAATTAAATACTGACAGTTGGATGATTGAAAGACCAGCACATAGGAAACAGCAGTCTGATAAAAAGAAGTGTTTATATAGTTGATGAGTCCCAATAAAGAAGGAAAAAACTCTGTCGACATCTTCAAAGCCCTTGTCTCAATCCATTATGTTATTCCAATTTATGTAGCTGAAAAGATGGCTCTGGGTCTTCCAAGATCCTTACTCAAAAGAGATACAGGAACCTGAGAAATATCTGAGATAGTCATTTGAGATTAACATACAGCAGTGTGCTCATCGCAAGGAAACATTAGAAGTGCCATTTAATATACATCCCCAATTTTAACATTTTGCTGTGAACGAATGAAGTTTCACTTTGGAGCAGCATCCCTATGCTTTAAGGTCGCTTAAGCTTTGACACCTCTGTTAATGGAAGTTTTCAGTGTCTCTGCTGCTCAGAACTTGCATTTATACATCGTAATCGCAGAATCCTTACATGTGGGGCAAGAATTTTATGACAAGGGCAATCAAAGATTTTTCTTTCAGTCCCCTGGGAGAAGAAGAGTTGGTTGTTGTAGGATACTCTGCGACTGTGCTAGCAGTAACTGCATGTGCTGAACTGAATGCCCAGACTGGCGTATTTTGGAGAGAAAAAACATGTGCTTTATGTGGGTCAATGTCGCATGAACACTCTGAGGAAGTTATGTAAGTACCAAGGCAGAATATGCTTATGGTATATTACTCTGCAGACTTTCGTCGATGTTTAATGAGTTTCTCTTCTGTTACGAGTGATATATATCTCTCAAATGCCATATTTATTGCTGGACTCGGTGGAAGAAGCTAAAACAGTGCTCAGACAGTTTTGCTGTACTACTTGCATTCAGATACAGGCCCTCTCAAACCACTGGCGAATTTTCTCTTTGCAAATAGTTGTGGTAGACGTTGTCACAGTCCTTCATTTATCTATTCCTGTCATGTCAATCACAGTGCTGGCAAGAGGAATTGTGTGAGCAGGCACAGATCTGCTTCAAATGAAGTCTGCCAGCTCAGTTTAAACAGTTAATGAAGACAAAATAAGCTTGCTTTTGTTTATAAGAGGTTATGGAATATCCACATAACTGCTTGCACCAGGAGGGTTGAGGAACTGGCATCTGCCAGGTGGTGGAAAATGGCAATAAGAAACTGATAATGTCTTCAAGGATCAGAAAGAAGCATATGCCTAGCACCTGAGAGGTGGAGCCTTATTTCTGGGAGGGGGACTGTGGCATGCTGCACAAATCTGACAGCAACACATTACCTCCCAAACAAAACCTACTGCCTGTTTGGTGGCTCACTCAGGTCCCAGGAGTGAGTACCAAAGGATGCGTGCATTGTGGCATCCCACACTCCTGACCTGAGGACAGATGGCCAAACCCACGCTGCCTGATGCTGGCAAGTGCAAACCAGCATGAGCAGGTGAGCGGGGCCCTCCCAGCGTGATGGAACCATCCCTACATGCCCAAAACTCTGGGGCACCTGTGGGAAGGTGGAGCAGGACAGAGACATTTCAGTGCTATGGATACCTCACCTACCGCTCAAGAACATGGACAGGAATGGCCCCAAATCCAGGACCGTAGTCAGGGCGCTTGCCCTTGCATTTCTAGGATCGTGGAGCACACCTCGGGCTCCAGGACAATGGTCAAATCCCTCAGGCTCACCACTATGGGCAGCTCCTCGCACTGCAGAACCATGGGCCCCTCTCGAGGTTTCTGGAGGCTCCTGAGTTGCCTGGACCGTAGACAGCCACCTCTTTGGCTCAGAAAGAGGAGAACTACCGGGGCTTTCAGGTGCCATGGACAGCACCTCCCGAGTTCCAGCGCCACAGCCCGCTCCTGCCGAGGTTCAGGTCCGGCCCACAGGCAGCTCCGTGCCGGGTCGGGGCCGTGGGGATGCCCCCTTCCATGGTCCCGTGCTCTCAGCTGTTCCCTTTTTAAGCGAGATCTCCTTTTTGACCGTATCTTTGCAGTTTTCAGGTGTTTGTACGCCTTCTATTAGCATTGCTTTTCATATTTCTGAGGCGCAATGGTACTTTTCACCGTGTCAAAGACGTTAAATCCAAATTCCATCTGTGTAATTTCCACCGTTTTCCCATCACGTTTGACTATACACCAGCCTTCTTGATCTCAGCTGTTCTATAGTGGTACTAGGAGCTGTCACAGCTGCTGTGTCCTGCTACCCAGAGAGCTGCATTTCAGCACCCACAGATGCATTTTACGCAGTATACAAAGTATCTTGGTTTCCCTCATGCTTTCTTTATGTTTCTAAATCTTTTTTTTCCTACTTTTTTTTTTTAAAGAAAAAAACCTTAAAAAAGTATGTGATTGTATTTCAGAAAGAGGCCATAGTCTTGCCTGAAATATGTTTTCATTTAAACAGAAATATCTGAAATGGTTTTCCTATCTATATGCAGTATTTTTCCACTAAATTACCAATATAGCTGATTATACTGTAGGTGGTCTCTGGGGTAAAAGAAGTAAATGTCTTCCATTTCCTGTTATTTTTCTGTTTGTAAACGTGGCCAAGTTTTAAAAGGTACTTATTCTCTTTACCTAGAGCTATGAATGACATCGGCGATTACATAGGTTCCAACATCGAAATATCCTGGTTACCCAACCTGGATGATTTAATGAAAGGGTATGCACGTAATTTCAGGCCTGGGATCGGAGGTGAGACTTTGAGAGTAATGTCTCTTTTGTTTCTTACAATCCTTCTACCCTCTGATGTTTATGTGAACTTCATCCTCTACATGATGAAAAGGTTGTGGTTGTCTATTACTTGGATGCTGGAAATAATAACGATCAACAGTTTGCTTGATCTTGAAAAAAGACAGACTGTACAACAGAATTAGCAACACAGTGTTCTTACTGGTACAGTTCTTAAATCACTGATTTCTAAGTTGAAGGAATTTTGGATTACATTAAGTGGCGATAATTTCTGCATTTGCTTGAAGTCATGCTGTCTGAAACTAGATGATGTGGTTTGCAGAAGGGATTCCCTAATTTTCAGTAACTGTGTTTGTATCTCATGTCCTTTATCACTGAAGCAAGGTATTCTGTTGGAAATTGAGGATGCAATCTGTAAAAGATTTAAATCTCTTCCTCTAAGGTAGATTTTACTTGGAAAGTGTACTTTCTCACGGAAAACACTTTTATGAATTTACTCTGTATGAAAGAATTAACAGTCTTGGGTCATCTGTATTTTTGTAGGTACTATGATGATGTAAATCACCCCATTCAAACATTTTTTTCTCAGGTCCTCCTGTTAATGTTGCTCTTGCAATTGAAGTAGCCAGCATTGACCACATCTCAGAAGTGAACATGGTATGTTATCAGTTAAACCTACCAAGTTGTGAACATATGCACTGCAACGACAGAAAGTGTAGAAAACTAACTAGAGAGATAGATGATCTCCAACATGCGTGGAGTGGAGAAATTATCACAAGAAGATACTGCAAAGAACAAACATTGTATTTTAAGACGCAGGCAGAGTCTCTTCTGGCAGACATTGGCAATTACAAGAATCTAGCCATGTATAAGTCACTGAGATTTCTTACTACAGTTAGCAAGGTTGGATCTGTGCAGCACTTACTAAGAGAAGCCTGATTTTAAGCATTAATTCCAACTTCTGTTCAAATTCCTTTTCACCACAGATACTTCCAAAAAGAAGCTACAGGAATGATTGGTTGTGAGATGCTCCTCATTTTTGTGTAAAGACCTTTCAATAAAGCAGTGGAGTATAACAACTTGCAAGTCACATAAACAAGCATAGGCATGAATTAACTGCATTTCTGAAACACAATAGATTTGATTTTAAAACCAAAACTTTGACTTTCCTTCCATCCTTTGCCTTCATTACAGATGCATAACTTCACCTGATTTTTTAGTTTTACTTTAAAAAAACCTTCAAAAACAGAAGTTGTACTTGTGGAGATAAACTGATTTTCTTCATTAAGTCATATGCAACTCTTGCAACATGTTATATATAATGCTGACATTGAATAACTTTTTGATATCTTGGTTTTATCCATGGTAGAAGCATATGACAGAAATTAAAATGCTTGGGCAGCTCTATGGCTGATGAGTATAAAACCACTTATTTGCACAGGGAACAGTCCATACATTTCTAGGCTAATACAATGATTTTTGACCAAGTCCCAGGGCATTATCATTGTGTTTGTTTAGCATAACTTTTTAATTGGGACTTCTCTTCTCATAGGAATATACAATGACGGTATTTTTGCACCAGAGCTGGCGAGATGAACGTCTGTCTTACAACCACACCAATGAAACTTTGGGCTTAGACAGCCGGTTTGTGGACAAGCTCTGGTTGCCAGATACTTTCATAGTAAATGCCAAGTCTGCCTGGTTCCATGATGTGACTGTGGAAAACAAACTTATCAGGCTCCAGCCAGACGGAGTCATTTTATACAGCATCAGGTGAGTGAGAAAGAGTGCAAGTGTACTCTATCCTGTATTTTTGAACAGACTATAAAGTAATCACTCGGTTTTCCTAGGATGATTTCCTAAAGTAATTATTCATTTAAAATGGAAGAAAGTACTGGCGACTCCTACCAGAGATCCCTTTGCTTTACAAGGATTACACTGCCAGGAAGGTATCTTTGGCAACACTAACACATTTTCCACTGCATAACTGCATAACTGATCACTTTCAGAATGTCCTTAATGGGAGGTAAGCATCTCATAACTATTTGGTCACAGGGCAAGGAGATGCTGAATACAGAGCAAAGATTCTGTTCTCCACTCTCTCACTATTTTCTAAGGGAACTATGAGCCTGATTTACGTTCAACTTCCCCATCTTTCAAACAGAGAAAGTAGTATTTCCTCACTTGGGAAGTGTCCTTGCTAGAACTCGTTAACTATACTTAAAGTTAATTGTGTAATCTAAAAATTAGTGAGTGTGCACCTTTGAAATTGTAAGTCCAAAGTCACGCTTAAGGTATTGGTAATGATCTTGGGGACAGTGAAAGGGAGTAGACTTGACTCAGAAAAGTCTTTTTTATCATCAGAAGTAGCTGAAGCGTCCCCTGACATTAGACAAATCATACGACCTTTCTTCAATTTCCCCCCACCTTTGGGTTTCCCACAGACTTAGTAAAGACAATAGCGATACGGATTTTGAAAATAGTTTCCTGTATTAGTATTAAGGTTTCAAAGTTTTCCATTTGAGTTCTGAGGAAAAGGCTCTATCTGAATGCAACTAACTGGTGTTCATGTTGCTTGGAACAGGATTACCTCGACGGTGGCCTGCGACATGGACCTTTCCAAGTATCCAATGGATGAGCAAGAATGCATGTTGGATTTGGAGAGCTGTAAGGGCTGAGTACAGTGTTTCATACAATCTGTATTTTGTTTAAAGCCTGCATATATGGTACTTAGCTTGCTGGAGTTTGCTGGAATGATTCTGCTTTAGTCAATGATGTAAGGGGTGCCTCAGGATTTAGAAATAAAGGGTACAAACATGAATCCCTTTGTTCTCTGTGCTGGGCATTAGACTATGGACTTTTCAATACCAGTTCAGCTCTGATCCAATTGAAAACTATAGGATTTAATTTAGTGAAGATGAACAACGTACAGTCCTGCTGACAAATGTCTGAAACTTTGTGCTTCATATAAAACCTAGTGCAATTGTGACAGCCACTAGCATTACTGAGGTTTGCATCAAATCCAGTGAGAATAAGTAGAGAAGCCCACAGGCAAAATTTGATGTGCTATTTTTTCTTTATGAGAAAACAGGAAAAAGAAAGATTTCCCTGCTTTTAATGAATGCCATTGTGACTAACCCTTACAAAGCTGTTTAGCT